CCTTCTTCTCAGTCTGAATAGATTTTGGCAGTTCTTTTAAGATACTTAAGTATAATTGATGAAAGGGGGAGAGTTAATAGTGGAAGACGCATATCCCATTTCGTATATCATACAATCATCAAAATCATAACAATTTTTTATATTTCATTTACCATCTGTCGCAAAATCACGTAACCCTGATCATAATTCTTATGAGTAAGGGGTTCTCGTTTGAAATGTCATGTGCTGCCTAAACTCGTTTTTTTCTGTGAAATTATTTTAAATCAAATCCAACCCCTGATTCAGATTCACATGCGATGGGACTATTAGACTGTGTGAATCCATTTGGGATTCTACAAGATTTTCTAGCCGATTGTTTCTATAAATATGGCTTATTTATTAGCAAACATCCTCGAGCATTCGCCTTAGGACCTCTAATCTTAACATGTATTCTTGCGATAGGAGTATTTAATGTTAGAATGGAGGTAAGAAATTATTAGTTTTTGAATGTAATTTGACTACAAGGATCGTGATATTTAAGGATGATCTTCGATTCTTGTATTCACCAGAGCATTCCAGATCGAGGATAGAGTATCAAGTTCATAAGAATTTTACAGGAGCATCATCAAACAAGTAAGTTCTGGAATTAATAGTTTATTTACAGCGAATGTTTGGCATGATAAGTTCGTATTCCTAAAAAGTTTGTAATAAATAGCAAAACTAGAGTATTTGAGGGAGAAGGAGAATAAAGTCACATAAGAAAGTTAAAAATGTGAAATAATAGAGGAAATGCAAACACCTTTATCTTTGCCACTAGCAAAAGCGACCTCGTAAGCACTTTTTCTACCCATATTTCAGCTCATTCGTTTCTGTCACATTAGAGTCAATGGATGAGGACAAGAATTTGCTTAATAAGGACAAATGCCATTTGATTCGAATGCTGAACAAATTCATTCTAGAAAACATGACTATGAAAATCAGTGGAGAAGAGGTAAGGCTTATTTAATCATTCATTTACCAAGAACGTAGGAAAAGCAACTGCGGATTCTGCGAAGAATAGCGAGCTTTGCCGCCTCTCATAGCAGCTGCGGCCATCAGTTACCATCACGGAGGATGATTTTTGAGGGTTAACCAGACTCTACATACCATCTCCCACACTAGGCTCCTTATGTGAGCTTGCTTCAATGTGTTTCAAATAAATTTAACCCTCCCCTGTTTTCTCTTGAGTCCGATGGCCGAAAGATCAAGACTTACAGGTTTGGACAGTAGAGGCGCATATTGAAGCAAACACTTATATGGTTAGCACTATTTGCGAGAATATTGCTTGCCTGATCAGGGCTTTTCCTACGTCATTACAGTACCCGTTGAAACACAGGATTAGTCACTTTCTGGTAACTTGTAGTAGTGGCCTCGCAATATGAGACGTAGATTGACGAGCGCATAAAAATCAAACTGTATAGGAGTAGTGTAGCGGTATAGAATTGTCTTACCGAGTTCATTTTTATACCTGGTTTGGAACCTCCATATTACGAAAAAGTTTGGTTTTGCTTTTCTCTCAACAAACTTACCACACCTCACCAAGACTACATACTTCACCTCATGATTTTCTAGCCATTAGGTTAGAATAAGGGGAAGAACCGTAAGAGTAAAAGAAACTGAGGCACTAACTCACATGCTGAGTTGGAGGTGGGAGTTGGTATGCGATTAGGGCAAGTATGGGATATCCGTACCCCTAAAAATTACATCCTCTGGAGTTGATGACTGCTGCTGGTGTTAGGAAAGGTAACCAAAACCAGCTTTTTCTAGTGTAATCAGCAGTCGCTTTTCCTAAAAGTTTCGATTCAGGTAAGCAATTAAATTCATTTTATGCTAAATCCTACCGTAAAGCTGTAATTCAGGTGAATTTCGGAAAAGAGGTGTGCCCAGCATTGAAACAGTGCACTCTTAGCAATACGATAGCTGATATTTTCTTTGATACTTTCTGGAACAGTCGGGTACGTATTATTTATTGAATTAGTGCTACTTGAAAGTAGCTTTTTACACTTTTTGGAAGTTTACCATTCTTCAACTTTTTCTTTGTAATTTTAGAGTTTACATCGATCTTTACGTAATTTTCTGTTTTTTCTATGCTCTCATACCTCTTCATAAGAAATTTCACTTATCAGAGCTACTTGTTTTTAGTTAAGAGCGGACCCTCGAATCAAAATCGAATATCCTATAATGACGTTCTTCGAGAACAAAATGTTCCTACCAACTCATCTCTACGGTGTGCGCCTTGATGGTAAAAACGAATTGAAATATGTGGAAATGGTTCATCTAATCTACCAGATCCCTTCATACAAAAAGGTTACTCTACATCTTACCCTATGTTCTTCTCTGTACATAACTGCATGCTTCTTTTTCAGATCTCATCGGATGAGGTGTCTGTAGCGTTTGCTGATGCTTTGCGTGGTGTACTTGGCACATCATTAGCGCCATTTACGAGTTCCATTTTTAGTCACTCAATATTGAAGGAGGAAATGCAGAAAAATGCGACTTATACCGTACCGTTCATCTCATTAACAATTCTTCTGCTTGTCAGCTTTACTGTTGGATCCTGGTTTGTTCAAAAAGTTCCTTAGATCTTTTCTCAAAATCGTAAATTCTTCCTTGTTAAGTATGACCGGTGACTGGATTACATCAAAGCCTATTGAAGCTATGGTAGGTGTGCTAACATCATCTATGGCAAT